TTGGTAAGAATATTGGTTTCATTCAAATTGACTTTGGACAATTATATTAGGTGCAGGGTATAAAGAGAAACAGGAGTAAGATTGGATGAGAATTTGGAGAAGCAGACGTGCATGGGAAATTTTCATAATTGATTTTGTAGTAATATTATATAACATGCAATTTTCATCGATTTATATTCAGTTTATTGATTTAAAATTTAATTCAAATATAAGGCTTAAAATTAATATGAAGATTAAAAAAATACTACAGAAATTATAAATATTAAACTGCTTGATTTAAACATGTGCCGCAATTCTTATATGGTTCTGTGGAGTCGGTCAAAGTAGGCGCTGTGAAATTTGCAGTTTAATATTCTATGAATTTGGGTGCTCTCTTTTGAAACCGTTTACGTCCAATGAATATACAGTAATTGGTGTCAGGCTTCACGAGAATGGTACTATGAATCTGCACATCTATGTTCTCACCATCATCCAAAATTGTGGTCAATCATATCATATGGTTTTACTACTAGGTAATATTTTCTTAATTCTTTGAGTGGATTTAAGTTTTCAAAAGCTCAGTGATTAATAAATATTAATCTTTCTAGAAATTCTGAATTTGGGAAATAAAACACAAAAATAAATAATTTGACCCATCAGTTAAATACAGTTACTCATTATTCGATTAAACCTGGACACTTTAAAGGACGTGCAAAACAAAATAAAATACAAAAAAAATGAAACTACATTACTGCCTTTCGGTGTTCAGACACAGATACTTCTCGTTATTTATCTTCGTGTTGTCACAGATAAATAATTACCCTTTACACCGTACAAATATTAAAAGTGAAACATCCAATCAAAATAATTCCTAGGATAGTAACCATTCACTGTACAAACATTACGGTTCAGTCTGCCTAGATTCCACAGTCGATGGTGAAACATCCGTCGTGCTCCTTAAAAAACAAAACGCCCTTAGGCCCTCTGGCGCCGATTCGAGTGGACTGGTTCCTCTCGTCTTTTTAATGCCAGGCCCAGCCCTCAAACTATTTACTACTAATATCTTTCAAGTGTAGGCCCAACCCTTAAATCATTTATTTTAGACAAATTAGAATACTAGTTGAATTGCAGCGACTTTCAGGAGAGATTTAACAATATTTTTTTTATCGATATATTGTAAACTACTTTTTTTAAGGTATCTTGAAATGTATCAATTGAATGTCGAGGATTCAAGTAATATTTGTTTTAATGAAAACAACGTAAGCAAAAAAAAAAATGGATATGAATGTAATATATGGATTTTAAGAAAATACGGATTCGAGACATCCCATCAATGCCACTTAAAGAAATTTACCAGGGATGACGATATATATATATATAAACTTCAAGTAAAAATGTCATGTTCGGCTAAGAAGCACTTCAGACAATACGGGTACAAAGGGAAATGTTTGAATTTTTAAAGTCTCTAGCGTAACTCACAAATACAAAAAGAAAAGAACAAAGAACTGACTTTTAGCATGTAAAACTTGCTAATGCAGAATTATAATAATAACTTAGAGTTGGAAATACATTTATCATATTCAGAAGCACTGTTGAATTTCACCTGCAAATCTCACAGAGCCTAATCACTGTCTTTATCCCTCCAGCGGAAGTAAAAGACTAAATCATGAGAAGTGAAAGAAGAAAGTTTGCATGCCTTGTCAAACTAACAAGATGAATTGTTTATCTTATTAGGATATCTTTTTTATGAGGTAGGTAACAGTTTTGGTCTATAACACAAACTTTCAATAATTAAAATATTATTCAGAACAACCGAGAAAGGTTCCTAGAGATTCGTCGTAACCGTCTTTCGGTTGGGCCCCGTAATTGAGCTTCGACTTTGATTAAACGAATTGGAGTCGCCACCGGCCATTTTAAAACGAATTTAGGTGGGTCGGACACCATCTTACTTGATCTGCGTTTTACCAGAAATGTGTCGGGTTCGGGAGTCGGTTACGGTCAAGGAAGGATTAGCACCCTTGAACCGCCCTTTCGGTACCAATTAATTTGTCGGTTGTCTTAATTGCGAAAATTAAAATTTAAATTAAAACTTAAAATTCAATTTGAATTAATTACCTTTAATCGATTGAAAATATCCCTAAAAAGTCAAAATGTTAGATAAAGAATAATAAATATTAAATAAATAAAAGGAAGGAAAAAATAATAAGAAGAAAATAAGAAAATAAAAAGCATTAAATAAATCAAAAGGGAAAAAATAAAATAACATAAAAAAGTAATAAAATAAATGAAAAAAGGAACCTATAGATGAAGGACCATATGGTGAATTTACCCAAGGTTCAAAACCATGGGGTTTATTTGATTTTCACGGCAGAAGCTTCCTGTAGTGAGTTCAGATGGCTCCTCTAGCAAAGAGATATCACTGCATTAGATGGAAATCCTCTTCTCTTTTGCAAACATATGGTCGTGCTCCATTGGAAAACCAGCGAGCCAAAACGGAGTGATCGTGCCGCCTCGGAGATCCTTGCTTCCGATCTTTCGTTTGAATAAGTTGAGAGAATCGTGACCCAAATAAGTTCTACGTAGCCCACCCAAAGAAGCCTTTGTTCTACCGGAATGACACCGTAAGTGATAAGATGTGCAAACGACCAAAGCTTCCATCCGACAATCTTGGAAAGGAAAAAGCTTCTCACAAAACTGGTAATAGTAATGAGACAGTGAACCCTGCAGAGTAAAACCAACAAGGCCAGATCTGAACATTCGGGTACGATCGAACTCGAAGAGAGATTTCCCTTCAAAGCATTGCGCAGTCCAATCCCCAAGAGAATAGATGACTCTGCTAATAACCATTTTGGTAAAACATGATTTGTCTTCAAAGCTTCTTCATAAGCACTCCAGTTGTGTTGAGGTGCATATCTTAATATCTCATAAATAGTTCATCCTTGAGTCACTAGGTCTTTCCCCAGTGATTCTCTCTCGACCTGACTCATCGCGACTCTTTCTTGCATGTCGGTAACATCCTCGCTTTGAATTGGGATCACGTCGAGCTCCTCGGCTAATGAGTTCATCACCACCGAGTTGGCCATTTTGTTGCAGTTCCTTTTCTGTTTGGTTCCGAAGAAAACGAAACCATCGGACAACTTTGAAGTGGTTAATGAGGAAGATGAGACATGCCTCGTGATGGGTTTTCGAGGTTTTAATAAAGAAAGGAGGCTTTGAGAAGATATCGCGGTGTGCAGCGACGCCATGGATAAGTTTCTAGGACGATTGAGTTGAGCTGAGCGGACCGAGGTATGTCCCGGTCACTCACAAAGACCTCCTCCTCTTTAATACCCCAGAACTCCATTTTAAATGGAAAAAATTGGGAACCGCTCTCCACTTTTTCAGCGTTTGTTTTTCATGGCTTTGCTGGTCGTACGTGGGTGGAATTGAGCCGTTTGGAACGTGGAAAACAAACCTACAAGGTGATGTGGCTGGATAGTTGGGGGTTGAATCGTGGGGCCTACAAAGATAAAATAATATATATATATAATAATAATAATAATAATAATAATAAATAAATAAATAAATAAACAATAATATATTTTTTTAAAACCCGAATAAAAACGGGTGTCTACACCTCTTACAATAAAATTTGTTTGATTGTTTCCCCTCGTCTATCTTATAATATTATACAGATATTTTTTTGCACAACCACGGGAAACTTCAGTTGGATCACAATGCAGATAAAGGCAAACTTTTCTGTCGTCTTAACCCTTGTTCTTTATTCTTTGACATGCCGCGAACCTAAAACTGGCACACCCCAAAATTAATTTAAAAGTATATTAAATTTAATTATTTGGGACTAAACCCTAGCCGTGCACCCATCTCCTCACCAACCGTCATCACTCGGCCGTCGTTCGACGCACCTTCGCCATCAATGGACTCGTCACCGACCGACGACCTCAACCCAACCCTTAGATCGCCCAAATCAGTCGCCGTCCGTCGCGAATTAGGAGAAATTGCCGAAACCCTCGCTGCCTCGGTTAATTGCAAAATCCAACCGCCACGATCGTTCCCTCGCCTCACCGCCTGTACCACCAGACTCCCCTCCTCCGTGCGCTCAAAATCGACCTAGTTAGTTGTCCGAAGCTGTCCCGTTGTCGAACATCATTTTGTGAGTAAGTTTTGAATATTTTCGGTTGATTTAAGTTGTTTTGGGTTGATTGATTGGTTGTTGTGGATTAATTTTGGTTCATTGAAGCTATAAGAGTGCTCGACCGATCAACCCGACCCGTCGCCGCCGTCACGCACCATCGCGTGCGCGTTGGGCTCATCCTCGCTAAAAAAATCCTTCTAGAACGGTCCAGGTGGACCGAACCGGCCAAACCCGGTCTAAATCGGGTCTGTTTGACTCGAACTGAATTGGTCTGACCCGTTGACCTTGACCCGAACTATTGACGTTGACATGCCCATTGACCTACCATTGACTTTGACTTTGACCAGTTCGACTGTTGACTTTTACAAAAAAAAAAGTCAAAATTTTTGAAAAGTCATATTTTATGTTTTTCGACGTCAGTCTGAATCCAAAGTCTGTTTTTCCAAATTCGAACTCGATAAACTATTTTTTTGGCATTTTATCTCCCAATTCAATATGAATTTTCATGTTTACGCTCCATTTATAATGTAATTGATTTTTTCATGTATTCGAGACATTATAGGACGTGAAATTAAATTTCGAGGGCGATCAAATGGAGTTTAATTACTTAATCGATGTGGCTAGAAAATCGAGATAATACTTTACTACTCTATACATGCTCTATACGATTTTTGAGACAACACTGGTCACCGTAGTGTTACTGCCAAGTTTTATCAACTTCTTTCGTGAAGCCATGAATCACTCCGCCTCTCCTGCCAAATAAGCAATAATCTTTTTGGCATTTGGTAAGTTATCAACTCAAGTTGATTAAGTCAGTTTCAGTTCATCAGATTTGTTTTGCATTCTCATTGTTTTCAGCTTTCTTACAGATTCTGTACCTTGATTACATGCATCTCTTCTATCAAGCAATACAACATCAGTAGAGGTATACCCTATGGCTAATATTCAACCTTCTTGATTTTGTTTATGGTGTTTTATTTTGTTCCATAGAGATTGGGTAGGCAGTAAGATGTTGATTTTTATCTGTTGTCTTCTTGTTGTTGAGAATATATACGAAGCTCATGCTTTATTTTAAACCACCAATCTTGAGCAATGATATTATCATTTGGATAGGCTGTGTATTTGAAGGCTTTATTTGATATTTTATGTATTATATATTACCTTCTGAAACAATTTTCCAGGTTCACGAGAAGAGAGGATTAGTCAGATGGAAATATGACTTGGGAAGGAAAAAGAATTTTGAACAGGTGAATACTTGGTTTGCATACTCCCTGAGCTTCTTGTTTTATTTATCTATCGACGTGAGTATGAGGAAACTTGATCTATTGATTAAGAGATTTATTCAGGGTTCATAGAGGTATAATAATTAAGGCATGTATAGTAATGCTTTGGTAGGGGGATTCAAAGAAAAATCACATGATGCCCTTTTTGTCTGGACCATTTGGCAAGTCATTTTAATAGCTAGTGATGCCACGAACCATGCTATAGGATGGTCATGCATATCTTAATCGGAATTGGCGGAAAATGGGGTTCTTGCTCATTCTGTTTTTGCATATTCCAATGTGCATTATGATCCATTTTCACTGTTTAAGGTATTTGGCACGAAGAAAAGCTTATGGTTCTTCCCATTGTTCTCGGATGATGATTTAGACAACATATCAGCACTTCACGGTCTCGAATTTCCAACACTTTCAGATGTTGAGGCATGAGCTTTTAATGAGAGGACATATGACCTCAGTTGTGTATCATGTTGCCACATTATTTATTACCTTAGGTTTGACAGTATGTATGTCGCAACATAATTGTATTTGATGATAATCGACATATTCCCGTGCTACTGGCTTGAAGTGAATGGGAGTAAAAGCTGTGCCAAGTTTTTGTTGTTAAAGTTTTGAGAATGAAGAATGATGTTAGCAACGTGACATTTTAGAGTAGAATGCGTTGGCGATTGCATGGAATTCGTATGTTTCAGCCCCCATCCAGTGGTGTTTTTGTCTCTTCTTGTTGGCGACGGTGACAAACGAACTGGAAATAATTTTTTCGATGACAGTAAACCCCTACCAACTCTTATCCCAGTAGGCCGCGCATGTTTCATGTAGGAAGCTATGTTGTCCCTTTATCAAAAGTCAATGGCGGCCTGCAGGTAATATATTATACTATATATTATAGATGGCTTAGATTGGACACTACTTGAGGACCAATATCAACTGCTCCAGGAACGGACAGCATGTCATTGGAATTTCCATAGATGGCTTAGATTTGTTTTATAATAGTTAGATTTAAATAAATAAATGATTTATATTTGATGAAAATTTAGGGTAAAGTATATAAATGGTCCTCCGATCATAGAATAATATTTTGTTGAGTCCATAGGTTATTAAAAATTATAAAATGGTCACTCTATTATTCATTATGTTTTAAACTTGTCATTTTTTCTAAAAACAATTAACGATTATCTGAGTTTGACATTAACATGCTGACTGAGATACGATAGTTGTTTGAGATTATGAGATCAAATTTTATCATATCTTAGTAAGCAAGTTGACGTACAGCTTAGACTACCATCAAAATTTTAATGGAAAATGACAAGTTTCGAACATAATGTATAATCAAGTGATATTTTTATAATTTTTAATAGTTAAGAGACTCAACAAAATAACTTCCTACAGTCGAAGGTTTATTGTGTAACTTTCAATAGTCGGATGACTTAATAAAATAATATACCATAGTTGGGGGACTATTAGTATACTTTACCGTAAAATTTATTATCTATAAACAAATATTTCTTTGGCTCATGGTAAAGTTATCTTTTATCCTAGCAAACCTTAAATTCCAAATCTTAAACATGAAATTCTAAACCTTAAATTATAAATCTTAACTCTAAAAGAATATATTGTTTTATTGTTAGTTAAAAATATTTATTTATAAGTTAAAAATTTTAATAAATTTAAGTGATTTATTATTTAAATCTATTTATAATGTAAAATTTATTAATTTTAAATAATGTAAGTAAATCCTAATCTTTGCGTACGTCTCTCTCTGTATGCTTCTTTGGTTTCTGATTTAGTGAAACTTGAGGCCCTACTTTTTTTATTATTATTAAAATATTGCTTTCGCCACTCGTAAATGCTTTTGAAAGCCACGTTGATGAGTAGTTAAGAATGCAAATTTAAATAGGAAAAGAAAGCACATATTCCAACTAATTATGTTGAGTTCAAACATGATCAAACTGATTTGATTATGAAAAATTAATAACTAAAATTTAAAAATTCTTTAAATTTGAAACAATTAAAACTTAGAAGGATTAAAGCCCAAAATGATTAAACTCGAGTATAAAGTTTAAAATAACTCAAACTTAAAAAGATTTAATTTAAAATTTAATTAAAAGAACTCCAATCCAATTATTTGAATTTAAAAAATGACTGAAATCTAAAATGACTGGAATAATCCCTCTGAAAATATTAAACAAACATAAATAATTAAAACTCAAAATAATCCAAAAAAATACGAGGAAAAAAAAATAACAACTGAAGCTCAATGTAATCCTAAAATTTTAGGGCTTGTATTGACAAGTCAGTAGAATGGAGAGGATTAAGCAAGACCATGCGACTAATTAAAACAAAGATAGAGAGAAGACGAGCATTAAAGTTAAAAAAAAAAACAACTGGGGAGGATAACAATCTTGGTTTAGTTTGCATTTCAATTTCCTCCTCCTCATCATCATATTCTTAATTTCACCGACTACATCTTTCATCATTTAATCATATAAAACCAAACAAATCGGTATCCCATGCTTTTTAATTCACATGAAGCAATCATAACAATGTAATATAGAAGATAAGGCATAAGGAAGGGTGATCTAGCCTGCAATTCGTGTATACCAAAGAAGAAAAAATATAAAGCTTGAAAGAACAGAGAGTAGGATTAGGAGATAACTTGGGCGATCATGTTTTCTGGGTCATGAACCGATGAGCCATCTGTCGGTCTTACTTCCCCATTAAAACTGCAAATACCGGAAACAAAAACGGCGAACCAAATGACCAGTGGAGTTACAAACAGAATAAGACCAAAGGGTACCATCCAAAGCTGACTATTTGTCCGATGATATTCGTATTCCCACCATCCCAACATCATTCCTCCGCTCAAACTCACCAAAAACGACCATAACCATGCTATGCATGTACTTGCTATCTTCTCTGATTCTTTCGTCTTTCTCTCCACTCGCTTTTCTTTTTCAGAATCCATAGCAGAAAAACCCCTGTTGCTTTAAGCGTGCCAAGAAGAAATTAAAGAGAAGAGAAAAAGAAGACTACAGAAGCAATATTCTCATGGAATGGGATCTGATTTTAGATGATACTCAATCCAGGTAAGAGCGACCAAAGTAACAATCAGAAGTGGCTTCTTTTATAGAAGTCACTATCATTGACGATTGTAATAGAAAAAAAAATTGTGACGGAAGAAAGTGATTGCGTTTCAGCTTCTATCAACTACCATAGCTGCATGGATGAATCCTGGGAAAGATTCGTTTGGCCTTTTTATAATGCCTCGTTGTTGACAGCTGCCTTGTTTTCTTCCAGATAAATCATATTTGAATGAACGCCCATAAAAAAATTATTATTATTTTGTTAGATTCTATCTATCTACCAAAGGCAATGAAATTTAATTTTGCTTATAAGCTTGAGTCCGAATTACTTTCACGGTGGTTACATATGAATTTAGTAATATTATTATTTATATGTTATTTTTAAAAATATAATATAAAATAATTATATATTTAAGGTTTAAATTTAAATTCAAATTTAAGTTTGAATATAGTTCGAGTTTGACCTTTAATTGAGCTAAGTTTGAGAATATTTCAAAATCAAGTTTTTTTTAACTTGAGTAATGCTTCAAATTTTATTTCGAGTCAAACTTAAAAATTTTAAGCTCGCAAGCTTTCGAGTGGAGCTTCAAATTTGTATTGCGAGTTCGAATCGAGTTTGACAATTTTAAGCTTGTGAACTTTCGAGTCGAGTCAAATTCATCTTTAAACTTTTCAAATCGAGTCGAACTCAACAATACTCGAGTTCAACTCGGATAGTTTAAAGCGGTACTTTCATGGTGGAGAAATACTTGTTTGAGTAATATTTTAGTATGTGGGAATTCACTTTTGGGGTGTCTATGAGCAATTTAACCTAGGATGTAGTGTAGCTAGCGGGTGGAGCAAGAAGACTGCTTGAGTGGCTATGATTCATCTTTCCCAGGGTGTTGAGTGATATCTGCAATTCATTTTTCTGCTAAACTGAAAGTTGTTTGGAACTATTATTCAGACGGGGGGGCTTATAATGCAATGCTTTTGTTGTGCGTTATAAGAAAAATAGACATGAGGTTGAATTGCATGCGTGAATGAATGGGATATGAAACCTTATCCAAAAGCAAGGAGGTTGAACTCAATAAGTGTTGGATACAAACTCTATCGGTTTCAATGAATATGTTGATTGCTAGCACAGTAGAGTCTGGCATGGAGATTTGAAGGTTCAAGCTCTTCCCTTCCAATTAACTGATTGATAAGTTCTCCACTTTGGAACTTGAATTTTGCTTCTTAATTCATATGTATAAGTAGTATTTTTATTCCAGCCCTTCATTTCTTGAATGTAGTATAGATCGTAAACCTTTGTAGCATTGTTTAAAATGTAGTAGGATGGGTTGCTTAACACAACATTGTGGCAACCGGCCTTTCGGTGAAAAGGCGACTAGTTACGACGATGTGTTTTTTTTAAAATGATTTTTTATTAAATGTTGGGAGTCGTCGCCAATCATTTTAAGATGCGATTGAAACTAATTTTAATAAAACGTTTTTATTTTATTAAAAATACCAAATTTTGGCATCACAATGGTTTTTGAAATTGTATTTACTCACCAAATTAGAGTTAGATCGGAGGACGTGCATAAGATAGCATTTCGGACACTGATACATTTCATTGCATTCGTGTTTCATGCATAAACACATGATTTTGACAGATCTTCCAGTAAAAAGAAAAGATGCAGGATGTTAAAATCCCGACGATTGAAAGGTAGAAGTTAAACATCAAATACATGGAATCATGTTTAGATAGGCAGAACCTGAGGAACGCAAGGGTTAATCCACAGAGGAAGCATTGCTTTGAAGCGGGACACGTGGCCCGACCATTAAGTCGTTTTATGAAGTGGAATAAGAAGGATTTCTCATTAAAATATGAAGTTTGTGATTTTGAAAAATAAGAAAGTGATGTTTTAAGAAAATAAAACCTTTGAAAACTAAGAAGGATTTTTTCCCAAAATTTCGCACTTAGTAAGTCCTTCGGGCCATCAATAAGTCTTTCGAGCATGATGCTTAAATCCTTAGGGCCATCAGTAAGTCTTTAGAGCATGATGATTAAATTCTTAGGGTAATTGTAAGCCTTCACGGAAGAGTAGTGAAGCAAACCCATCAGTATGTGCCATCAATAAGTCTTTCGAGCAAGATGATTAAATCCTTCGGGTAATTTGTAAGCCTTCACCGAAGAGTAGTGAAGCAAATTATCAGTAAGTCTTTCGAGCATGATGATGAAATCCTTCAGGTCATTTGTAAGTCTTTCGAGCGAGATGATAAGTCCTCCGGGCCATTTTAAGCCTTCTCGGAAGAGTGTTGGAGCAAGCCATCAGATCATCAGATATGAGAGGAAAGCGAAGGTTCTCGAGTAAAAAGAAGCGGATCAATTGATTAAAAGGAAA